AAAATCACCAAAGCAAAAGTTTGCAAACGGGGTTGGAGTGTTGCAAGATTGATAATCTATTTCCAGACGGTATTTAAATTTCATTATAACACAGCATGAGATCTTTAAAATATTTTTGTGATTGCATACCAATAATATTTGTCAGCCAAATTAAATGCGATCTCTCCGCTTGGATGATTAAGAGCCTCGCGAGCTATGCAACTTGAACAATGGCAATTATAAAGCGGCGCTTGATTATTTCCAACCTCTCCTAATGTCATATGAATATTGACGGTGAAAGTGCATTGATACATTTCGGGGAAGGCACAAATAATAAAGGATCCGTGAATAAGTGCCGACGTCATATCGGCTAATGAGACCGGCGGTGCTCGCGCGCGGAGATCGATTGAGCGAAATACCTCGGCAGACGAAGGAAGGTTGGTTTTGCAGGTGAGCGGCGAGAAAATTGCTGTTTACAAAGGACAGACTTCAAAACAAACACCGCCGACTCGTGTTCTGGTGCTTTTTGCGCGTAACCCGGGCAAAAAGCTCCGAAGCCGCGCAGTGCGTAATTGAAGCGGGCAGACCTTGCGCGATAAATGAGCCAGAATAAAAGGGGTGATTCGCGGAATCGTAAACGAGAGAGCGACGAGACAAGGCTCTCGGACAAAAAATATGACGTTGAATTAGACGACACGGAGGAATTATTGCTCTCGTTAGCAGCAGAAATCGCTCGTTTGCCACCAAATTAACATGAATTATTCAGATACGCATCTCGCGAGACGACGGCTTCTTTTTGCAACACTTTCCACCTATTGGCTGGACAGAAGGCAATTTATTGTGGACTGTCACCTCAAAGCAAACAAGACAAAGAAATCAGTTTTAAAGTTAATATTTTTTTAATAATAATAATTTTTATTAATAAAATTCAATCTTCACATTTTTTTTTCAAAATCTTAAGGACATTAAATTCATGGGTCTAAGTTTCAAATTTCAAATTTTGATAAAGAATCGTTATAGCTTTTAAATTGCAAAACCAAAGTAGTTATTTTTAAAAACTATATTCTAGTTTAGTTTCAAATCTTGTCTGTTTATTCGATTCAAGAAAATAACCATGATACATTTCAACTTCATTAATTATATTTTGTGATAAATCTCCGACATCCCTAAAGTTTCTCAATTTTAATTATCTAAATTATTTACAAAATCAGCCTAAAATCAACTCAAAAGGATAAAAAAAATCTAAATAAATAAAGCAAAAATATTCAACAAGGGAGTTTAACGAATTTGCTTAAAAGTAGTAAAATTATATATTTATAAAGACATTTTACTAGATTTTTAAATTTTAACTATTTATTTAATAAATATAATATTGCGAACAAATTTTATGTGTACTGAGAAATAACATAAAGAAGAAAACAGAGATTGAAGTAATTCCTGCGGTTGGATACCTGAGTATATATCTAAAGGCTGGTCACTCTTGTCTGAGCCTTTTGACATTTTCCTCTCGCAGCCGCTCACATATCAACTTTGCTCCACAAACAAAGGGGAAACCCGTTGGAGCCGAGTCATTTTTCTTCGTCATTGGCTTTTCGCGAAGAACAAAGAAAGGGACGCGCAGGGATAGTTCACGAGCTGGTTCAGGGTCGCGGTGACCTGAGAGCAGTGCGCGGCGGGCAGGCACGCTTATGCACCGTTGGTGGTCTTAATGAGTGCAGGCCCTTTTGACCCAGCCACATCACTGGCTCCGCGCCATCCATCATTCATTACGGCCTGAGCAAACCGCACAAACGAGCCAGCGAACGAACCAAACACGACGGGGCCGTCGATTTTTATTATTGGCATTATGCAAACAAGGAAGCAATATGCTGATGACGGCCGGCGAGAGCCGCAGACCCGACCAGCGTGGAAAACCACACACATGCACACCACGTTTCTATTTTCACGTACAACGACCGACAACATCTCCGCCTGATTACCCTCTTGTATGTGAGTGGTGTGCTCTATTTGAGCAAAAACTCGTTTTTGTTCACCATTTTCCCTCACACTGCCGGTTCAACTTCTTAAAAGGAATTATAAAAAAAAGTTAATGAAATCCATTTGATTGCTGTTTTATCCACATTTTGTTTTTTTCTTATTTGTATGTGACTGTAGCACTTGAAAAAAATGCATAAAAATAATCAAGATATTATTTATAATAATAAATAATTTTAGTTTTAAATGTTATTTATATTTACACTAGATTTTTAATATTAATAAAATTTATTTCAAATATTTTTAGATATTGTTACAATTTAACGGTTTTCTTTTAATCAAAGTCATTTTTATTTTACATTTTTTATTTTATTTTTAATAAATATTTTGCAAAAATATTTATATTTAAGAATACAGTCCGTTTATGTTTAGGAAGTATAATAATTTTAAAGAGTTTTTTCATTGTCATTCACCTTCTTAAAAAGTTTTAATTAATAACTAGTAATATAAATTATATTTTATTTCAAGGTTCTTTAAATCTATGAAAATCTATGTAAAATACTCTCAATACGATTATAAAATTTCTTCAATTTAAAAAAAAAATCCTCAAGGCTATAAGGGAAAAGCAGTTTGATTTAACGACGCAAAAGACAGATCGCAAAACAATTCATTCCAATAAACGCCACATCCAAAGGAGGACACATCATCCAGAAAAGTTTATTCCTCGAATCGTCCATAAATTTCCATTCATAAAAGCGAATCGCCTCCCCGGAGCGTCTGATCTTTACGAGAGAGAGATTTGCATGCGAAATAAAAAATATGTATTTTAGATCGGGGCGATCGAAAGTCTGTTTTGCTCGGAGGAAGGTAAATTTTTACGATTTGTGGGTGGCACAATACCGAGCGGGATCGTAATTTAGGCGCGACACTTGCTGCGAAATGGGCCTCACCGAGAGAGCTATGCAGAGATGACCTGGGAGTGTATATGTGTGTGTGTGTGTGTGCCGAATTATCATTTCGTCAGTCACATCTCACTCACCCGAATAAACACACGCGTGCGGGCGTGGCGGCAATATCGTATTAGTGTTTGTTTTTCCATTCGAAAATTACACTCTTTTGGGTGGAATTCTTTGTTTTATGTCACCTGCAGGTGAACGACGTAAAATATTTGAATGACACGTGAAAATACACAAGCAATTTCCGTCGTGCTAGTCTCATGTGTCGTGAGAAAAAAGCATTTTTGCATCAAATAAATGTCACACACGCGAGACGCCTTTCTTTTCTCTTTTTCCATCGATGTCTCAATAACAGCCATAAAGTCCTCTCAGATGTGTAAAATTATCCGGTTGAAAAATTGGATTTACCGTAAATGATAATTTTTATTATTTGCCTTAACCTCTTGACTTGGAGAGGGTTGGGCAAATAAAACGACATTTTCTCAAGGGTTTGCGTTCGGATCTGAGAATTTACGCAGAGACAAGAGACGAGTCTTGTTCTGATCTCAAATGAGCCTTTGATCGGTGCTGGGAGAGGTGCGAAAAACCGAGTATTGATTTTCTTTAACAAACACATACACTCTTTGCAAATGAGTCGTGTCAACACGGTGAATGGAAACTTCTATACTTTTGGGTGAAAGCTTTGTATTTTAAATTCGGTCTTTTTATTCTTTCACTCGCATCACCCGAGGACAAAATTTGAATTCGAACAGAAGCGAATTATTTGTGAAATGGAGCTTTCGATGGCGTCAAATTTATTCCGTTTGGCGCGGAATCAAATTTCACACAGCCAGCGAGGCAAATTGAATGAAACGGGAGAGTGCGTGATCCGAGTTATTGGTGTGTGTAATTATGCCCAGGAAGAGATTTTATGTCTTCATTATGATGCAGGCAGGGCGTAGTCGGCTTGTGGGAGGCACAAATTAGGCCCGCTTCAGCAATTTCATTGTATTGTGTGCCCTCGCTGGCAGCGATTTCCCAGCAGACGGGCCAATTCGCTGAATCGACGGCGCACTCCCGTCCTACTCCGGGGTGGCCAGATTCACAAATCGACGCTTTTTTCTATTGTTTTTGCTGCGAACGGCGCGCATGATAAATGACCGTCGAATTTTCCCACAGTTTCAGGTTCGAAGTAAAAAAATAAAAAACGGTCGTCTCGTGCACAATTCTATAATACAAATCGACATATCACATTCGTTCGCCGAAGAGCGTTTACTTTCGCGAAACGATCGCGTTGGAATTTTAATCAGGGTTTGTGTAAGTGGGGTAATGATTTATGTGTTTCACAGAATACGCATATAACAGTCCGTCTCGCGCATGTTAAATTATTTTTGAGGAAAAATGCAGGAGAAAATCCATCATTTCGAATGCAAAGGAGGCAGGTGGATTTTATTCCACGCGGTGCTTTCTATTATTCGCGTTTGAATTGCAGCCGCTCAAGTTAATTGACATGCCTTTGAAGAGCAAGACAAAGGCTGCCTTTTTATCCCGAGAGAGCGATGGGACGAGCACGAGTAATTGCTTGCCCCGTGCGATTTTGAATACGACAAGTCCTGCGGCTGATCGCGAATTGAAAGCACACAATCGATGCCTGGCCAATAAAGCAAAAATCAAAATGGCAAGTCAGCTATCTGATTAATGGACTAATTTCAATTTTGATTCGAATATTTAAAAAAAAGTCTCTCGCGTCAGTTATTTTTAAAAGACAAAAAAATAAACAATAATGAGAAACAATAAGTGGAAAAACTTGCAAACATCTGAGAAACATAAACAATTAGTTCAAGTCGCTGATTCAGCAAAAATGTTCATTAATATCAGTAAAAAATTATTTTGATTACTTGATAATTTTAAAGTATGTATTCATAAAAAGTAATGCAACAAAAAAATTCAACCTGTCCTTAATCAAGATCAACTGATGCATGATAAAAAAATATACCCAGAGAAGCGTACATTAAAAAAAAAAAAAATAAAGACCGATAAAGAAAGTGTCAAAATTCCCCCATTTTGTGTGATTGATGGATAATCCCAAAGATAATATAAGTCTGAGCTTAATCGATCACACAAAAACAGAAACCAAAAATCCTTGCACCATTTAATTAAAACTCTTCTCAATATGGAGCGTGTCAAACTTCGCAAAAGAGTTGCCATAATTGGGGCAGGGGTGGCCGGACTGGCCGCCGCCCGCCACTTTACAGCCCCTGGATCGCCTTTTGAGTGCCAAGTTTTCGAACAAGACAACAATGTTGGTGGGACTTGGCGTCTTTCTGACTACGTGGGCACTGACGAAATTGGAAGGCCCGTCCACTCCAGCATGTATAAATATCTCAGGTGCAGAAATTTTAAATTGGAATTGCCTCCAATCTTTCTAATTTATTTCAATTCAGAATGAACCTTCCGAAGGAAATAATGTGCTACCCTGACTTTGCCTTCTCTTCAGATTCAGATGGAGTTTCTTACATTACATCTCAGCAGTTTCTAGACTACACCGAGGAATACGCTGACCACTTCCAACTTCAAAAGCACATAAAAGTATAATTTAAATATTTCCAAAAGTCCTAATTATTTCATTAATTTAAAAAGTTTAATCATGGAGTAAAAGAAGTTAAACCCTTGACCGGGGCCAATGGAGAAACTGAGTGGCAAGTGACCGTCTACAACTGGTTGACTAAAGAGACAACCACGCACATTTTTTATGCAGTTATGGTTTGCAATGGGTAAAATAATACCATAAAATTAAGCACCACCGGCGCGGATTTAAAAAAAATGATAATAATTATTAATTAAAAAACAGACACTTCTGCACTCCAAACATTCCTGACTTTGAGGGATCGAATAAATTTAATGGGAAAATAGTGCACAGCCACGACTACCGCGATCCAGAGGATTTCAAAGGAAAAAGGGTTTTGATAGTCGGAGGCTCTTTTTCTGCAATTGACATTACAGTGGACGTGGCCAAATGGGCAGATCATGTATGTAAACTTATTTAAACACTTTTAAACGTTGAAATCTAATAAAATCGAAGGTTGTTATGAGCCACCATTTGAAAGAATTCACGCCTGATTATCCTGACAATGTGAGCTTGGTACCAGACATAAAAAATTTCACCAAAAATGGTGCCCTATTTGTCAATGGAGAGGAAAAGAATTTTGATACAGTCATCCTGTGCACAGGTATGAAAGGAAATAATTGAGGGAAAAAAATGCACTCTATTTAACATTATTTTAGGCTTCAAATACAACTTCCCATTTTTGCACGAAAGTTGCAAAATTACCACAAACGGCTATGGTGTTGAGGTTGAGCCTCTATACAAGCACATGATCAATATTGAGTACCCGTCAATGTGCTTTATCAGCATCTGCAATTACAATTTGCCTGCGCAGCTATCTGACTTGCAGGTGACAATTTACAAAGATAATTATAAATTGGTAAAAACTAATTTTGTCTGACGCAGTCGAGATATTTCTACAGTCTCTTATCGGGAATCAGCAATCTGCCGTCTAAGGAGGAAATGTATGCTGATTTGAGGGAAGATCAAAAACACAGAATCGAGAAATTGCGTAACTTTATGTTATTTTGTTATTCGGCTTCAAAATTTTCTAATCATCATCTTCAGGTTGGCCAGCACAGCAGGCGCACAAACTGGGCCCTTTGCAGGAAAAACTTTACAGCGAAATTGCCACTGCTTGTGGGGCGGAAGGGATTAAACCGGTCACATTGAAAATGTTCATTGACTGCGTGGTTGCGAACAGCAAATTTCAAGACCTCCAGCATTTCAGAGACCGTCGTTTCACAATCATTGATAATAACACCTACGAAGCAACTCCTCCGTTTAGTTCGTTAGAGACGAAATAAGAACAGCTTATTCTAAATTAATTGGAGAATGATTATAAAGAATAAATTTTTTTAATTAATATAATGAGAGGATGTATTTTTAACAAATTTTTAATGAATTTTTTTCCTCATTCTGGAAAACAATGGTTAATAATAATTATAATTGATGTTAAAGCATTTGAAAAAAATATATATTATGTAACATCTTAAAAAAATAATATCATGATAGTATCAATGCACCATCGTTGGAATAAATCAGAATAAATTTGTAAATATAAAGTTACATGATAATTTTTTTAATTTTAATATTTCTCTTCTATGTGCAATATGATTTCAAAATTTAAATAACAAAGCAAACGCCCGCCCACGCCACAGGCTGATTAAAGAGAGATTTGGTGAGATTTGGCTCTGCCAACTGGCAATTTTCCCGGCATTATTTGCGAATTTGGCAGCGTGTTAGCTTTGATCGCCCTCCTTCGTGCCAAGTGAACAAAAATTAGGGCAAAGAATTCTCATCACAACTTTTTGAAAAATTTTATTAATTTATTTTTCAATTCAGTGTTTCAGCGGTTGGCATATGAATCCCATTTGTACGTATTCGCACAAGTGATCCTCCCAGGCGCCCAACCTAGGCAAAAAGGAAATGCAACTTGTGTAGTCGTGTGCGGGCCAGAAGGGCATGTCAGGAGCCCAGTCAAACTTTTTTATCCGAGTACCAAGCGTCACGTTGTAACCCCAAAACCACACACCGGAGTAAACGTTCTCTCCGCGCCGCCCAGAAGTCCAGATGTACTTATCACTAAAAGCTGTCAAAAACTTACATTAACAAATTAAAATTAAAATTTTTTTAATAATTTACCTGCAGTTTCATTTAATGTGGAAATAATCAGTTTCCTTTTAGCTAAAGTATCTAATCGAAGAAGCCTCATGCCCATTTTGTCACAAGTTTCGGTCGCATCAAAATAATTCACCTGTAATTAATTATAAAACCTTTTATCAATTTTAGTGCTCGATTTGATGGGAACGAATTGATTTGATCCATGCCCGGATGGAATTGGACTAAAAAATATTCTACAAGAGATAAAAGCGCAGAGATTATTTCACCTGGCTGGCCGCATCGACGTAGTAGGTGACTCGATCAATCTGGACGTAGTCGCCCGCTCTGCCCGTCGGACCTGCTAATGGATCAAATTTCACGAATGAGAGAAAAAATGGTCTCGGAACCGTAGAAAATTCGATATCAGCTCCAGCAATCGCCCGACTACTTTTTCTCCAGCGAAAAAACAGAAATTCTACCGCTCACATTTTTTTACACACTTGCCAGCCACGCGAGCGCGTTTCGGCTGTCCTGAATTTTGATAAATCGAGTTAATTTGTTCAATTTACACGGACCGAACGTGAAAGGCATGCGTGAGAATGAGGAGCTGTCTCTTACTTTGTGGACAGTTGCTATCTGCGGCGTGATCTCCTGTGAGTCGTGTTGTTGCGCCTAATAGACCGCTGCCGCCGTTTGCGCCACCCGATGCCTGCGAACATGCGTTTAATTGGACAAATGCCTTTTTCGGACTTATTTCAAATCTCCCAAAAACCAGGTCACGTACAAGAAATGGTGAAAATAGTTTTTAATGTTTATTTATCAATTGTTTATCTTGATGTACTCGAAAGCAGATATTGACCTTTTCGTGAATTGCTTTTTTTAACTTTCAAAATTTACGAGTGCGCCAAAAGCCGGGGTTTAATTTAATGGTGCGGTGTCTGGGCTGATAAATCGAGTTGGTGGCGATAAGCGATAAAATCGCGACCCAGGTGAAAATTATTGACTTCCACAAAAGGCAAAAGATAAAAAGGCAGCCACATAAATTACGCGCCAGCAGGCCAAGGAGCAAAAGACCAGTGGCCAAAAGACGTCCGTCCTCTTAGCCGCGCATTGTTCCACTAACGAAAATTATCAACAGGACGAGATTCCACTCTTGGCCAGCTGATAAAACAAAGCTTTTACACGAAAATCGTTTCCTCGCAAATTGGCCGCCGAAAATTCCATCGCGGCTGTGACAAAAAAAAAACCGGCGCCATTGAATGCCCAGCATCAATTAAATTTTATTTCTCCATTGAGCAGAGGGGAATGCGCGGAATGAGGCTCATTCAGATTTAATAAAGCAGATTAGCGGCCCAAAAAGCTGCTAGTGTCAAATGGGACAAGACGAAATTCCCGGCGCGCCACTAATTGGATTCCTCTTGGTGTGCAGGACCAGTGTTTTCAATGCACGCATAATTGCGACGTGCTTCAAATGTCTGGAAGACAGTTATTGACATATTCGAAAGATCAGAGGGAATTACTGTCACTTTGATTGAATTAAATCCCCAAATTAATATGATCTAATAAAAAGGCGGAAAAAATAATAGTTGATTGAAAAATGTACCTTTTCATTTATTCTATTTCTTTTTCCGAAATCAAATTTCCATTTGGGAATTCGGCGAATCAAACAATATTATAATAAACGGTCTGCTTCCTGCTCAAGAGGCGGGGTTGTGTACTCGAAGCGATATTTTACGAGCTGTCGCGTGAAATATGAGCGAGAGGAGGATGAGCAGGCAAACGATTTTCTCCAAAGCGTTGTCGAAAGTCTGCGCCATAAATCAATTTTCAATTTAGGCTCGCGGACTGACCCGTGTGTGTAAACAGAAATTCAATTTCAGCAGCCAGGAATATTATAAAGGCCGCGAGTCTGTTGAAATGGCACTCCGGCGAGAGCGAGAGAAACATCGCCTTCAGGAGTTCAATCAAAGCCAAATCGCAGGTGGTCTCTCCTCGGAATTAATGCGAGCAGAGAGTGCAGATTCGACTCATTTGGACAGAAGATATGTGAGTGATTTAGCAAATGGGGACGCTGGCCTGGCACACCCAAAAAAAAAAAATAACTTCAAAAAGATTTTTATTTAACATTTTAAGAAACTTCTTAGTTAAAATTTTTTTATTGTTCCACCATTCTGTCACTTTCTATTGACATTTTTTTCAGTTAAATTTGCCAATTTCCAAGTCGTACATGTGCAAAATGTAGACAGTTAATTAAATTAAACGAAATTTCGTCATAAAATTGAGTGCACCCAGAATTACCTGCATTCTTCTTAAAAATTTAATTTTAATATGTTAGAATTAATATTAAAATACCAATAATCTCCCAAAATGACGAAATATTTAATTTAAATTTGAATTGAGACTACAGAGTTGATGATTAGGCTCGTGTTTTTTAGTCGATCAACTTTTTTTCTACATCGCTCGGAACGTTATGGAAATGCATTTTCTGCATGAATCAAGTGATTTTATTACGATTGGCACACCTATTTAAAACCGACTAAAACCGACTATTTCTTCAATTTCCGACTAAAGTGACTAAAACAGACTAAAATGACAGACTTTTTTAACTTTTTAAGCAAAAATACGTTTTTCCGGACTTTGAAACAAAATTTCCGCAAAATTTTGCCAAAAAAATTTTGAAGAGTTAAAAATTATTTATTTAAAAAACTTTTATCAAACAGATTTTATTTCAAGCGACTGAAAGTAGCACTAAATAAAGCTATTTTTCATATTCAATTACAAAAAAGAAATAAAATATGTGATGGATGAAAAATTCATAATTTTTCAATAGTGGAAAAAAAATGTTTTTGAGTATTTTTAGAACTTCATAATTAAAATTTTTGCGACAAAATATAAATTTTGTTCCCAAATATCATACAAAACACGTATTTTATTAAATTACCATGTTCAACTATCTTCAAAATATATATTTCAATACAAAATATTACGAAAATTCAATGGTTTCAGCAATTGTATAAAATCACAAAGTTCTGGATAATTGCTAGCTAGGTAATTTAAAAATGATGAAAAACGGGTGATTTATGCTTCCAAAAGTGGATATTTATTAATGCAATCCAAAAAAATATATTAAAATTATATTTTCATGTATTTTAAGGCTCAAAAAAACAGATTTAAAAAATCGACTAAAACCGACTATTTTGGCAAAAACCAGCTAAAAAGGCGACTAAATTTCTGTAAAATCAACTAAAAATAGTCGACTTTTTGACTCCTAAAAACCGACTAAAATGCGCGAGCCTATTGATGATATTTTAAATTAATTAAATTAACAATGGAGCCAAGGAAAGCTTAGATGTAACTTACAGTAAATGTTGCCAAAATAAGAACAACCCCAAAGATCTGCTGTGCCATGGCCATGGTATAGAGTGAAAGTGTGGACGTTTTTGTCAACATCAAAAATTTATAGCAATTTCACAACCCAAGATAAGCACATATTGCAACATAAATGTTATGGTCATCATGATCAATAAGCTTCCAATTGAAGTACTCGCTTGTCTAACATGAGCCCATAGAGTTGATAAGGTTTGAATTACAAAAGGTTTTTTTAATCGGTTGAAGTTCCTAGAATTTTAATGAATATGATAAATATGAAGTGAAAAAATTGTAATGTTATATACGTCAATGTTTTTAATAGCAGCATATATCATTTCCTATCATACCTTAAGAAAATATTAGTTAATTTATTACTTATTTGTTTAACCAGCAATGCTTTCAACAAGAAATATATTAAATAAAATTTGATTTAAATCAAATTAAATTTGCTACTGATGATCTGACATATGGATTTTATTGGCAAAATACAGCATTGTTTGTTCTGTTGCAAACTCCATCGTACCATCCTGATCCAGTAAAGGATAATAATAAACTGAGGCAAACAGGGACGCTGTCCTCGGCCTCCATATCGGGCTGTCCGGGGCCCCAGTAAAAGTCTTTGATGTGCTTGCCGGAGACTTCCCATTGCCAAGATGTGGTGTTAATTCTTTCTGCACCTATCCAAAACCAAGGGACGTCGAAAACTATTAAAAATTCAATCACGTTCGCGTTTAACTTGATTAAAGTTTTGAAAACCATATTGCTGTGCCCAAACGTTGATTGCATCCCATTTATTTCTTTCCTCAAAAGAAACGAGTTCCAAGTTTAGCGATTTGCAAACAGCCCTTGCCGCATCCTTTGTAATAAAGTTAGTTGCATTTACGTAGTACTGGTGTCTATCTATTTCCACATAACCACCAGTAAAAATTCCTGAAAACGTCAAATTTATATTCCATTTTTATTTGAATACAAAATTTCTTACTGGGATTTTCGCCGTTGGCACCCGAAATTATCTAAAAATTTAATAATTTTAAAGAAAAACTTTACCTTTAATTAAATTTATGTATTTATAATGATAAAGTTAACTAGATGGGAACAAGATAAGCTTCAATGTCGCCTACACTGAATGTCGCTAAGGTTAGAGCAGCCCCAAAGATCAGCTTCCTGGCCATGGTGATAGATTGAAAGTGTGCATATAAGTGGGGCATCTATAATTTCTAGCGATTAAAAACAAATCAAGATAAGCACATTGAAGCGCATTTTTCGGTATATTGAATCAACATCCACGATCAATACGCATTCGTTTGAAGCACTTTTCCCGCGAAACTGGCCGATATTGAAGTAGTACTTGAAGAATATAAATGGCCTCTAAGGCTTATGAAAAAACATAGTTTCATTCTCTGACGCATGAGGTCGGAACCACAACAGTTTTGGTTTGTATAGACTCTTAAATAAAAAGTGTTCCAACAACCAAGACACCCCTTCGATTAAAATACTTATTTTGTACCTTTAACTTTTTCTTGATATTGATTTGTTAAATTTGTTTGTAAAAAATTCTCAGTACACATGACCTAGAGGCTTCTTTAAACTCAATCGGCTAGAATCGCCTAATTTTTAAGTGCTTTGAATCTTGACTGATAAAAGGGTATGATAAAGTGGCAATCATTATTAATGTCTGTCTGTCAAATCTCGAAAATTCGTTTTAATGAAAATTAAATTTTAAGTTCGTGTGCAAATGAAATTTCAAATATTATTTTTTGGCCACAGAAAATACAAAAATATTTGTTCAAAATTATTTATTTGTTTATTTATTTTGAGCTACCATCATTTTTTGTACTACAGTTAAAAAAATGCATGATTTTATTGGCATATCAGAGCATTTTGTGTTGTGTCACAAATGTCATCGCACCATCCAGATGCAAAAGAGTAGGACACAAAACTGAGGCAAATGGTGTCATTGTCATCGGCCGCCAAGTTGGGCTCTGCATCGGCCCAGTAAAAGTCTTTGATGCGCTTGCCAGAGACTTCCCATCGCCAATCTGTGGTGTTAACTCTCTCAGCACCCATCCAAAACCAATGGTAGTCCAATTCTAACAGAAAATTTGATCATTTGTGATAAAAATTTAAAAGATTTAAAAACCATTTTGATTTTGCTGTGCCCATAAATTTATTGCGTCATATTTGGTTTTTTCCTCAAAAGAAATGAGTTCCATGTTTCGCGATTGGCAGTCAGCCCTGGCCTCATCCTTTGTGAAATATTTTGACGCGTTCACATAGTATTGTTGCCCATCTATGTCCACGTAACCACCAAGAAATAAGCCTGAAAAAGATATTCTCACACTAATATGTTCCATACATGAGCTTCAACGTAAGATTTCTTACTAGGATTCCGGACGCTTGCACCGAAAATGGCCTACAAATTTTAATAATTTTTAGTAATAGTTATAAAATTTAAGATTATTTTATAATCAAGTTCGGAACATAATGGAAGCACTCATGTCACTTACACAACTAAATGATGCCAAAATTAGGACAGCCCCGAAGATCAGCTTGTTGGTCATGGTGCTAGATTGAGTGCTCAAATTAGTTTGGGCATCAGACTTTTAAAGCGATTCAAATAACAAGATAAGCAAACTAGTCAATTGAAGGCTATTTGAAAAATATCAATACGTTTTACACTTTCTCCATCTTATCAGCTGATATTAACGTGCTTGACATAATTGTAGGCGAGAGATCGGATAATTTAATTTGCTCTCATATTATATTTCAATACGATTTGCATATCAGGTCAAAACGCATTTGGAATGATAATATTAAAGCACGGTTTATTTTTCATGCTCAAGAATAAAAAATGTTTTGATGCAGTCAAATATTTAAATTTTTTTTCAAAAATATCTTTTATATTTTTTTTAAAAGCGCGGTTCTATAATTTTAGATATCTCAAATTAATAAGTAAATTGGTGATAAACACAATTTAATATAAAAAAAATGAGGACTAATAAAATGAACTGAAACTGAATTAAATTGACAAAGCTGGGAACAATATTAGCGCAAGTTATTTTGATGCGAAATTTAAAAAATAAATCAATAATGACTTGGTTACTTGTACCGGTTCATTGTGCTTGACACAGAATTCTTATGTAAAGGGTCAAGAGGCTATAGTGTTGAAGAGATCGATTCGGTTTCACACACATCAGGGTTTGAATTACGTCAGCTTTTTTCAGTTAGATCAAGTACTTTGAATCTTTGAATGTTGTTAAAGTGAATGATTTCCGATTTGACGCTTTTGAGGGGGGTTTCAAGTTAAATTATAATTTGATTAACACGAATTCATTATTTTTTTGCAGTTGAGCATTTTTATATCTTTTTTAGGACAGATTTAAGTTTAAAATTTTGCCTCCTTTGATATTTCATTTAAAATAAAATGCATCATTTTTAGTTTCATAAAACTCATAAGATATTTTATAAAATAATAAGAACCATCCCAAACTGCAGTACAAAAGATTATCATTTAATTTGACACCTTAATTCTGGTCAAGCACTTTTCCTTTTGTGCAAGCAAACCATTTATCTCTTATTTTCTCCTCGCTAAATTGCAGTTTAAAGACATTGCTTTTTTATGATAGGATTGTGAATTTTTGTTTTAGATTTACTGCCACTCGTGAGAGACGGCGGAATTAGCGTTGATTGCACAATGATCAGCGAAAATGTCCGTCGGCCCGCGATTTGCTGATCATTGTACTCAATCCGCAAATATTTCCCCAAGCAGCAATTTCCCCATTATTCAGCACACGAGAGCGTTTTGTGCGCCGCGTGGATTAGCCGTCACTTTGTTCGAAAGCAAAACATAGACGCAAAAAAGCAGCCAAGAGGCGCCTATAAATATGTAAAGAAAATGTACAATACGTGCCGCGGATAGAGCTTGCCTCAGAGACTGGCAGCCACTCGTTAGAAAACGTTAATTTTGGATAATCGTGAGAAAGCACACGCACGGCCGTAATTCATTTTCAAAGCGCGGCGCCATCGGAATAACCGCGCTATCTTCATCTAAAAAATGTAGCGACACCTTTGATACTTGCTAATGGAAAGAAAACTTTTATAATATTTTTAACAATTTTCAATTTGGTACATAATTATTAAAAAATTATAATAAATTTTGTAATTTAAGGTTACCCATTTAAAGTTTAAAAAAATTAATAACAAATTATTTAAGAATTTTTTCTTTTTTTTCATTTATTATTTTACATTTTTTTTTCATCAAAGTAAATTGATACTTTTAATTGAAATTTGATTTAAATTAATAATTATATAAAATTGGCTTTCACCCATTTGAAGAAAATACTGTGAAAATTATTTAGTACTTTAAGATATTTTTTGTATCCATTACAAGATAATCATATGATTGATAAAATATCATTTTTTTTTAATTTCGTAATTGAAAAAAAAAATTAAGATTGACTGAAGTTCAGTTATAATGTTAATTATCATGTAAGCAAGCCAGTGGCCACGCGAGAACTTAAGTTGATTAAAGTAATTTATAAGTTATTTTTATCACGACCTACGCCAGCTAATGAAAAATGGCACCAACGACATACAACTCTGAACAGGCATCTCTTTTCTCTCTCTCGGTGTAGAATTATTATAATTCAAGCTGCGGCGAAAGAGAGATATTTCGCAAGGCAGCAGAATAAATATAAATGCAGCGTCGTCGCATACATATCAAGCATAATTTCAGCAGCAGAATTATTATTGAATGGCAAGCGAGCGAGCCTCGAGAGTGGATGAATCATGATTTTTGATCAATCCGTGGCCCCGGCAGGCCGGCCACAAACATTATTATTCGAAGAGAAATTGAAATTATTATTCTAATGCAGCGGCGAATTCGGTGATCGGCGCGCTCGATAAAAGAAACCGTTTTTTGACTGCGCAAAAAAATAAACACAACGCCGCCGCCGCCAATGATGCATTCGAGAGATAAATGACCAATTGACCTGTAAATATTTATACATAAATAAAATTGAGGCCAGCAGACCGAAGTCATTTTCAATGCGCGCAATCGTGCGAGTTTCTCGAGAGCGGATTAACAAAATTAAATAATTTTATAATTCAATGAAAATTTGACAAACATATATGATTATAAGATAAGAAAATTATCAACCTGGTTCAAGTCTTTCATATCAAAATAAAAACAAACTGTCACACAAAAAAGACTTTGCAAAATTGAAAGTATTTTCGACTTTAAATTACCTCTTTCTATACGATTGTTATGGAAATAAATATATATTTTTTTTCCCAATAAATGCAAGCTATTTTAAATTTTTGATTGAGGTTATATGATAATAAAAATAATAATTTATTATTAAATATAACGTAAAAATTAAATTAAATTATATTTTTTTTAATAAATTAATTTGACAAAAACAGTAAAAAAGCACATAAAAGTTATAATATTATTTTAAATAAGTATAAATTAATTTTTATATAAAAAATTTTCTTTTTTTCGGTCAAAGTAAAATGTTTAATAAAATATCTTGAAATCTGTTCCCAAGAGCCAAACGCACTCTAGGCGCCGCGTTGGTTCAACTTTTTTGAAAGCTAGCTGTGATGGTTTGATGGATCCCGCGGCGGCGGCGGCGGCTTCGGCTTGAGCGAGTGACGAAGGCGCATTAGTCTGTTAATTATCAAGCGGCTAATTTACGGCCGGCATAATGACGCGCGCGGCGGCGACTCATTAACACGTGGTAATTGGCCGAGCGATGCGCCGTTCAATCACTCGGTGGGCGTACATCGCGCCCGAACAAATTGCATTCTTCAACACCCTCCTCTGCTGCGGAGGCGAGAAATTAATGGGCTCTGTCGCAATCGCACCCTGCCAGAGACATCTCCGCGCGTACAAATCATATTATTGCTTTTCGACGCAGATTGGCTATTTAGATTCGGGCCAATTTATTGCCTTGTTTTCAACGCAGACAGCTTTTACGACTCGCAATTGTTCAAATCATGCGGAACGTGTCCTCACTTTTCTCTCAACGCGGATATTGATTTCAGGCGGGGGCGGTCCTTTTACTTATGGCTAAGGGAGCGACAATACTACCCGCAGCACACGCCGGACAAAAGGGTTGCATAACTTTCATTTGCTTAATAATAAGATCACTGAAGGGTGGGATAAGAATAATATATTCCATTTTCATTTTATTAAAAGTTTTGTTAAAATTAATCGGAAGTTCGGAAGTTTATAATTTAATTTTTAAGCATTACATTTTGATTAAAATATTGTATTTTAAAAAATGTGTCCATCAAGACAATCAGAAGAAATTAAAGTCTTAAATTGTGCTAGTGAATTGTTTTAAATTTAAAGAATAATTTTTTATCCAATAATATGCAGTATTTTGTTTGAATAATTACAATAGACACATTATGTCACCAGTTTCATTAATACAAATAAAGCCGCTGTAGATTTTTACTACATTGTGACTTGTCAATAATTGTAAGAAATAAATAAATCGATAATAATAAATTTTAATTAAAAATTTTTTTTAAATCTCATGACATATTTAACGAAGTAAAATTAAAGATTTTGCTTTTTCCTATTTTCATTATATCCATTAACGCATATAAATTTCATGATCAAATTATTTATGGATAAACTCGATCCTCTAAACCTGGATTTTACGACCCTCTTTGAACAGTTCAGCGCTACTTTTAACAGCCATAACAAACACACATTCAGGTGCAAGAAACTGGAGCGACTGACGTACGCGCGCGTTGTGAATGTGTTTTGAGGCGAGCCAGCCGGGGCTTGTAAGCGATTTGCATACACGTGTCCCCCGCACCGCGAGGATAAGCATCTGAGAGCGAGCGATTTCTGCGCGACCGAAACAGCGGCTGGGTGTCGTGATCAGGGGTTAATGAGCGCCAGGTGTAAACAATACCTCCTCCGCCTATAGACCATATGCACACGTATTAAAAAGTAATACATTCACCTTCACGCTCTCTCAGTCAAACTCACTCGCCTATCAAGCGGGATTTAACGTTTAATTCCATTTAAAAGTCGTGAACGCGTCTCGGATGTGTGTGGATGTAAATAAATCCGAGTGGAATGCGTGTGTCTCTGCTGCTTTTTATTGAATTGTGGGTGTTTGCGCTCGGCGTATTATGTCCAATTGATCCAAACACAATAAATTACGGGCGGCTAAAACGCCGCCTTGTGCCTCGTAACGCTGTCAAATAAAGATGCCGTTTTACTGCCCCCACGAAATATGGATGTCTTTCACTTTGGAGGAGAGGCGCCTTCACTGTCCCGAATGACGAAATTTTCACTAAAAGTTCATTTCTACGCCCAAAAAGATGCAATTTCACTCACAATGAAATTATAAAAACAAAAGATTATAGCATTAGCAGGTATGAAAATAGTGAAAAAAATTATTTATTATTTTAATAGTTTAACACATAACTTTCCTATATATATTTTAAGCCAAAATTGGTGAAACATATATTAATTTATCATACACAATCATATTAGGTAACCGTATTGTCGTAAATATATATTTTTAATGAAAAATGCTTAAAGATGATGCACTTGAAAAATACAGTAAAAATGATGTGAAAATTTATTAAAAAAATTAGTAATTCTATTT